TGGTTGATGCCGGCAGGGCAAGGAGCCGGGCTGGGGCCGGCAGGGCAAGATGTCTGGGTGGCGCCGGCAGGGCAAGGAGCCGGGCTGGTGCCGGCAGGGCAAGACGTCTGGTTGATGCCGGCAGGGCAAGGAGCCGGACTGGGACCGGCACTGTGGGGCGCTCAGGGGCTGGAGCCGACACTGGAGGGCGCTCAGGGGCTGGAGCCGACACTGGAGGGCGCTCAGGGGCTGGAGACGACACTGGAGGGCGCTCAGGGGCTGGAGCCGACACTGGAGGGCGCTCAGGGGCTGGAGCCGACACTGGAGGGCGCTCAGGGGCTGGAGCCGACACTGGAGGGCGCTCAGGGGCTGGAGCCGACACTGGAGGGCGCTCAGGGGCTGGAGCCGACACTGGAGGGCGCTCAGGGGCTGGAGCCGACACTGGAGGGCGCTCAGGGGCTGGAGCCGATGTGGTGGAGGAGCCCTTTCTCCTCCGACGCTTCCTTGGTCTGGGTGGTGGGAAGCTGGCCACCTCTTCAGACACTGCAGTATACTCCACTGCCTGCAGGACTGGTGCAGTGTCTGATGCGGGTGCCTCAGTAAGTGATGCTGCAGCCAGGATGGTAACTGAAAGGGCTGCAGCAGGTTCAGTCACCTCTGGGTGGGCGACAGGTGAGGCTGACCCGTTCTTCCTCCTCCGTCTCCGTTGGTGGGTCATCGGAGGACTGGGGATTTGGCAATCTGTAAGTGGGAGGGGCGGTGGACCAAGTGGAGGCAGGCCACCATTTCCCTGGCTGTGGTAGACATAACTCACAAACTGCCAGAATGTTAAAATCCCCAGCATTCCCATCTCCCAGGCCTGAAGGGGGCTGTTGAGTCCAGCGTTGAACGCCTCCTTCAGTGCAGTGTTTGTAGATTCAAGCCCCTCTGCAGCGTAGATGAACTGGTATGCAAACTCCTTCACTGTAGATACCCTTGATGGAGTGAAAGGAGTCTGCCTAAACGCTCCCTCTGCTGGCATGCAGAGGGACGAGAAGTGGGAGATGGGAAAAGGAAGATACCCATTTTCTGCTGAGTCCTCTGTTTTGTTGAGTTCGTACTGTCACGGTCGGTGAGGGGAAAAGGAGCGAGGACTCAGGTGCAGCAATAATGGGTTTTTATTTAATTATAAAATGAAAACAAAAAGGCAAAACAAACAACCCCGAGGGGGAAAAACTCGAATAAAACAAATAAATGAACAAACAAACTTGACTGGCTGGACAAGACAGGGCTAGACACAACAGGCCAGGAAACTTTCGACGACGAACTCACAAAGGACTGAAAACATGAGGGGGATTATAAAGCAAAAAGTAAATTGACACACAGGTGAACACAATTAACTAATGATGGGTTGACAAGGAGGGTGGGACTAGACAATAGACGGGAGAGCGCATGACACAGAGAGACAATACAAGCCATGCGCTCACATAACACAACACTGAAGCACACGACAAAAGCACGTGACCACAATGTAAACACCGAGCCACGTGCTTTGACAAAAGACGCAAGACACGAGCACACGATAGATAAACACCTTACCGTGCGCTCACACATAAGCAACGCGCATGCTTCATCTCAGCGCCAACAAAAACTGAAACCAACTAGACGGAGGCGCCGAGAATAAAGCAGCGCGCTGCTGACAGAACAAACACAAACACTAGTACAAGAGCGCGCGCGTCTGAGGGACGCAGAGCGCGCGCGGCCACATCATGTGGCAGCGCGCACACTCTGCATACACCCACGACGGCGCGCGCGCACACAGAGACAGAAACAGGACCAGACATTGAGTAGTGTCAGAGCTCTGCCACCAAAACAAGAATTTACAAGACCAAAGTGGCAGAACCCTGACAATTAGCTTCTCTTGATTAGGTGCACCAGCTTAATGAAGCTTAATGGATAACTGTTATTTCTGTCAAAAAAAAAATCTGAAAGGTTTTTTTAAATAAAATATTGGAGACACAAATCAAACACGTCAAATTAGATAAGTGAGATTTCTGTATGCCTCCCGTTGTGTTTTTACAGTCTAATGTAAATAAAACAAGCAAAATACACTTTTAACAATTACTTGAAATATTTTATCTGTGTATTTCAATATGCGAAACATATATTTTTTTAAAGGTTGTTCTCTTAAAATGTTTGTTCTGCTGCAATGAGACAAAATCCACTACTTCCACTATTAAATATCCATAGATAAATATCCAATACCTCCGATAATTACATCTGTATTCTGAAGGGATTTGTTCATATTTATACATTTTGCCTGACAGAAAAAAAGAAAACATTATTTTAAACCTGACTTTAGATTTTTGTACTTTAAATTTATGCAAATTTGCATATATTTAATGAAATTGCCAATACTATTAACCCTCTTTTAAATTCTGGATTATTTGTGAACTGTAACTACTGTTTAATAAAATAATAAAATGAACTTAGTGGTGCACTAGTTAGTGCTGTCCCCTCAGAGCAAGAAGCCTCGGCTTAGTTGGTGTTTCTGTGTAAAGTTTACATGTTCTCCCTGCGTTCGTGTGGGTTTCCTCTGGGTCTTGGTTTCCCCCACAGTCCAAAGACATGCGTTACAGGTGAATTAAGTAGGCTAAATTGTCTGTAGTGTATGAGTGTGTGTGGATGTTTCCCAAAGATGGGTTGCGGCTGGAAGGGCATCTGCTGCGTAAAAACGTGCTGGATAAGTTGGTGGTTCATTCCGTTGTGTTGACCCCGGATTAATAAAGGGACTACGCCGACAAGAAAATGAATGAATGAATGAATGAATTAACTTTTCCTTGTCCAAATGGCATGAGACTTGGATCTACATACAATTTACTATTTCATAATAGCTTTGTAGTGCAACAGTCCGCCAGTAACTTACTGTAAATCAATTATAGCAAATATACTGTATATATATGTAAATATGGTACTATTTACAGTACCATCTTGCTGTATATGCATTTACAGTATTGTATATATTTACTGTAAAATATATAGTTATTTTCACAATGCAACTTTTTAATATTGCATTGCTGTCCTACAGGAAAAAACTGTTCATATTAGGTAAATATGGTATCATTTACAAAAACTGTTAACAGCTTAGTTGTAGTGCAGCAGTTTGCCAGTAACTTACTGTAAATTAATTAGAGCAAAAAAGACATTTACAGCACAATGTTTCTTGCTGTACTGTATATGTATTTACACTATTGTAAAATATACAGTCATTTTTACAATGCAGCTTTAGAATACCATAACACACTGCACAACTGTAGTGTAGCAATTTGCCAGTAACTTACTGTAAATCAGTTACAGCAAAGTAACTGTATTTACATTTGCAGCACCATTTATCTTGCTTTATATGTATTCACAGTGTTGTATATCTTTTTTGTACATTATACCGCCATTTTCACAATGCAACTTTAAATAGAGTAACATACGGCATAACTGTCCTACAGTGAAATACAGTACATATTACAGTTAAATAATGTGTAATTTACAAAAAATGATGTCTTTATTAAAATTTAATGTAAAAAAATTACACTCATGGTCTTTGGGGTCTCTGGAAAATAAACAATAATCATTATCTGAATCATAAACTAATTTTTTTCCCAATGGTGGGCAAAATATCACAGTAAATCATCCATGCTATCACAGTTAATGTTATTCAGAAATGTGGAAATTCAGTCTGGAACTGAATTCTGCATAAAAATATGTTTTTATACAAGCAAAAATATAAATAATTTTAGTTTCAATAAAATTAATCTATATGCAGGGTTTAATGCTAATTTCAATATGCAGAGTTCAATGCTATTTTTTCTCACACCAAATTTTCACTGCCCCCACCAAAAAAGTTTATAACTATTTTTTGCCACATATTTTAAATAATGTGCCAAAAATAACCTCAGTAAATAGAATTTAAATATCTTAAAACTGTTAATAAATGTATAATGAGCTACATTTAAAGTGTTATGCAAACAAAAAGAGCAGTATAGAAAATTATTTAACAAAAGGTGGCTGATATGTCAAACTGATGGCAAACTATGTAAAACATCACTTTTCATCATCAAAAATGTTTTGGGGGGTTTTGACTTCAACATTTTTATATTGTGTTATACCCACATAAATGTATGTTTCCAACATGTTAGAAACTGATGCTTTCTTTTAGCCTCTATAATTTGATGTTACTGACATGTTGCCATCTCTTCACTGTACTGGTTGGAAAAAAATAACATGCTCACAATATCCAATCAGATAAAAGGAACCGAAAAGCAATACGATGTTAACAACATTATAGAGAAGGTAGCATTAAAAGGCTTAAAAGCATAAGCTGTTTCTCAACTATAAAACTGTATTTGCACGCAACTGACAAGTAGTTGCAGGCTAATACTTTAGTAACAAAGCAGAACCGGGCCAGTACAGATCCTGTCTACTGTCCTGAGCAGTAGTGGCCAACCCTGTTCCTGGAGAGCCACCTTCCTGCAGATTTCAGTTGCAACCCATATTAAACACACCTGCCTGTAATTATCCTATGGTGTTTAGGTCCTAATTAATTGGTTCAGGTGTGCTTGATATGGGTAGCAACTGAAATCTGCAGGAAGGTGGCTTTCCAGGAACAGGGTTGGCCACCCCTGGTCCTGAACATCTCTCATGCTGGCCCTAGGCCCCATCGGCCATCATAGTACTTATTGTTGAGCCCTGATGTGTATTTATATAAAAATAAAATAACAGAAATCCTGCAAAACTTCCCAAATGTGGAGTAAAAACATTGATGAATCAAGTAATTAAAAAAAAAAAAATTGTTTTAAAATTATATTTTGTTGCCTGGGGTCTCCATAGACACCAAAGACTGTAGGTTAACTACACTAAACAAGGACCGCACATTTTAGAAAAAACTAAGGGTAAAATCTTTGACCCTTTTCACCTGTGTCTTGCTTTAAAAAAAAAAAAAAACAGGTCTGTGTTTTAAATCTAATAAATATTACACATTGTATTTCCAGGTCGGCACGTGACAGCGAAGATGAAGATGATGATGAAGAGCGCAGAGGAAAGACCTGTACTCTTCAGTATCAGAGGGCCATGGTGCGAGTGCTCACACACTTTGTAGCCGAATCCTCTGAAATGCGAGGTCAGGTGACACACATGCTGGGCAGTGATTGGCAGGTGGATATTACAGAGCTCGTCTGGGACTTCCTGAAAGTAGAGAATCCCCGAATTGCCAGACTGAGAGAGGGACGCATTTTGGAAGGCATAGACAGAGGAATGACCAGCATTCAGGTTTGTCTGGATTTTTGAGAACTTTTATCTGCTAATGTACTGTATATAAACCGAATATGTAATAGAGGCAGTCAGTCTCTTAAATGGAAACATTTCACCCAAAAATGTAAATTTCCTCGTATATTTTCTTAAACTCAGAAGGTTTTACACTTTTTTGAATAACTTTCTTGTCTTGAACAAAACACAAAATATTCTGCAGAATGTTGTGGGAAAAGCATGCTATGAGAGTCAGAATGAAACTCAAACGTTTGGAACAAGTGGAGTATGTGTAAATGATGACATAATTTCCATTTTTAGGTGAACTATTCCTTTAAATAACATCTAAGTATCTGATAATTTCACATACATTAAAATGTGTAAATGAGCAGTTTTCTGTATTTAGTGATACATGTGTTTTTCCCCCCATTTGCTTTTGAATTTCATTATGGAACCAACAACTATTCTTCCAAAAACGTTTAACTTTGAAAAGTTGGAAAAAGAGACTTTTATAAACATTTTAATAGTTTAAAGTAAGTATATCGTCTGGGTTGGTGTTTCAACCTCAAGTCTTTTTGAATATGATGCCACAAGCTTGGCACACCTGTCTTTGGGAATTTTTGTTCATCCCACTTGCAGTACCTCTCAAGCTCTATCAAGTTAAATGGGAAGTGATGGTGTACATCCATTTTCAGATCTCTCCAGACATGTTTAATGGGATTTAGATTTGGGCTCTGGCTGGGCCACTCAAGGACATTCACAGAGTTGTTGTGAAGCCACTTTATTGATATTTTGGTGTTGTGCTTTAGGTCATTGTCCTGCTGCAAGATGAACCGTTGCCTCAGTCTTAGGTTAAAAGCACTCTGAAGCAGGTTTTCAGGATGTTTCTGTACATTGCTGCATTCATATTTTCCTCTATCCAGACTAGTCTTCCAGTTCCCGCTGCTGAAATACATTCCCACAGCATGATGCTGCCAGCACCATGCTTCACTGTAAGGATGGTATTAGCCTGGTGAAGAGCGGTGACTGGTTTTCTCCAAAAGTAACGCCTGGCATTCACTCTAAATAGTTCAATTTAGCCTCATCAGATCGGAGAATTTTGTTTCTTATGGTCAGAGTCCTTCAGATGCCTTTTGGCAAATTTCAGGCGGGGAGTGTCATCCATCTGGCCACTCTACCATTCAAGCCTGATTGGTGGATTGCTGCACAGATGGTTGTCCTTCTGTAAGGTTCTCCTCTCTCCACAGAAGAAGGCTGGAGCTCAGACAGAGTGACCATCGGGTTATTGATCACCTCTGACAAAGGCCCTTTTCCCCAATCACTCAGCTTAGACGACCAGCCAGCTCTAGGAAGAGTTCTGGTGGTTTCAAACATTTTCCACCTATGCATGATGCAGGCAACTGTGCTCAATGGAACTTTTAGAGCAGCAAAAATGTTTCTGTAACCTTCCCCAGCCTTGTGCCTCGAGACACTACTGTCTCAGAGGTCTACAGACAATTGCTTTGTCTTCATGCTTGGTTTTTGCTTTCACATGCACTGTCAGCCATGTGACCTTATATAGACAGGTGGTTGCCTTTTCAAATCATGTCCAATCAACTGAATTTACCACAGGTGAACTCCAATTAAGCTACTGAAACATCTCAAGAATGATCAGTTGAAACAGAATGTACCTGAGCTCCATTTAGAGCTTTACGATAAAGGCTGTGAATACTTATGTACATGTTATTTTATATTTTTTGAATTTGCAACAATTTAAATAAATCTTTTTTTTCACATTGTTATTAAGGTGTATTGTGTGTAGAATTTTTAGGGAATAAATTAATTTTTAAAAAGTGAAGTGCTATGAATACTTTCTGGATGCACTTTATCATGTACATCTAAATCTGTTTTCACACTGACATCAACTAAAACTGTTGAACTGCTAAACCTGAATGGAAACATAACAGGGCAATAGAATAGAATAGAATAGAAAAGAATAGTCTTACATTCTGGCATACAGATATTGTCTCTGCTGTGAGCTCTGCGATTGAACCAGGATGATAGCTTTAGATGATGGCTGCAGAACAAACACAGAACTTATATACATGTGACTTTTCAAGTTTTTTATTTTTAATAAATTTGCAACAATTTAAAAATCACATTGTCACTATGGGGTATTGTGTTTAGAATTTTTGAGGAAATAAATGATTTCAATCCATTTTGAAATAAGGCTGTAACATAAAAGAAATTTTGAAAAAGTGAAGCGATATGAATACTTTCCAGCCGCACTGTATTTCTCTATATATCATTGATTATGCATTATTGTGTTTCAAACTACTAAAATGTCAATAAAAGCCACTTTGCTAAACTGTAGAGTTGTATTTTCAACATCAAAATATAACAGAGCAAAGATCAAGTTTCCACAATGAAATTCACAACCTTAAATGGAAAATCCAAAAATACGTAAACTGTTAATTAACAGATTTATTTTTTACAGAGTAGCAAAACAATAAAAGTTTTACTTTTTCAAACTATGCATCAACTAATAATGCTAAAATAATAAATATACATAAATACTAGTTTATTGATACACAGAAACAGCGGTTTGGCATTTGACAAGTCAGATTGATGTTTAAAAAATATGACAAGAATAATAATTGATGTTAAAACCTGACAAAAAGCTATGACATTTTATATAGACGTATGAATAACAATTTAAAAATGTTTTCAGTCAGATTTGTATTTTTATAGATTTATACATTTTTTTTATTTACAAATAATATACAGCATTAAATATTTGTTATTGCATAGCAAGTAGTTCATTTACACTTTTCAGTTAAAAAGCAGAATAAAACAGTTTTAGCTTAATTATTTAGCTTAACTCATTTAGCTGGACAGTGTTGTGCATATAATGACATTTCCTGGGGAGGCACAGGTTTTATTATTTCTCACTTGTGGACTTTCTATCAACACTATGATGTTGAGTATGTCGGCATCTAAACTGTAGTCACTCATGTTACAACAGCTAAAAGCTGTCTTTTCAGGATGCAACAACACGAACATTCCAAATCCATTTATCCTTCATGTTAGTTGCAAGAGTGCTCAGAGTAAGCCATAAAAAACAAGCCATCAGTTTACTGTCAGAGATCCAGAAGTAAATCATTGAGTAATACAGGCACTCCTGTCTTTAGTCACAATGTAGACAGTGTAAATGAAACAACCATTGTATGTTTTTTAATTAATTGAGAGTTTAGCACTTTATAATAAACACGAACACTGGGATGATTATGCATTATATTGCTGTATCTTTACAAATTATTTTTAAATATAATAGTTATCTAATCACATATCTAATTTAACCCATTAACTTTCAACCAACATTTGGAATTTACACTGAAATGTATTGGAGATATGAGCATAATATACACACTTTGTCAAGATAAGTGAAGCTTGTTGTTATTGCTGTTGCTTAAAAAAAATTCACATTCAGGTTTTTAGTGCGGTCATAACATGAAGAAGAGATTTGGAGAGCTAGATTTGAATACAGAATAAGTTACCTAAATATTTTAGTAAGAAATCAGTATTAATGTACTCCAAATGCATGCTGGCACACACTTTACTGAAGCCTATAAAGTTACAAGTAGACTCACTCGAGGTCAGTATTTTGCTTTATGTGGCAAGGTAATACTTAACATTTACCAAGGCCCACCACATGCACAGCAGATCATACACTAATGTACGGATGAGATTATACAAATACACAAAGCACCAAATCCATTATAAATCACCATAAGAATGTGTAGAATTGACAGACAAGCTCACAGTTGTAAGATGCAAGTTGTGCAGCACATTTCAAGCGCATTAAGCAGCTCTGACAGCAAGCCTCGCTGGTTATAATTTAGTTTGAAGCTCATATTAATGGAAAGCTTGTCCTGCATTCATTATTTTTTCACTAGTGTTCACATCATCAATGTATTGATATAAGTAATAGTGTCATATCTTGAAGAGAACTCACAGTTTGAAATAATTTTCCACACACAGAGTTTCACACATACAGTAGTGTACTCATTAAGTACATGTGCAAACCAAACCAAAAGACATAGCAAATATGTCCAGTGCAAATAAGTAAGGCTTCACAATTAATCAAAGTTGATTTTTATGTGCATTTTGTCTGTTAAGCTAGTTAAGGTCTGTTAAGGTTAAATTAGTAAAAAATCTCCAGCAGCTGTTTTTAGATAGAAAAAAAGTACTACAGAAATCCATAGTTCCCCTTCGGTTGGGGAACTTCAGTGCCATGAATGGGAGGATTCGGATCAGAAGCCGCTTATCTGGAGAGTATTGAACGGGCCAATGAATGAAATTAATTGGCAGCGTAAGCTTGCGCAGGTGTGCGACATCTGCAATCATCTCAGCATATAAGCACACCTGAAGCCAGCAGACGCCATCCTTTTCGCTTCAGATCCTTTCTGAGTGAGTCGATGAGGGTTCCTCTTGCTGATCAGCACTTCAGAGCGAACGAGTGTGTCTCCCGGTCCAGAGTGGGTCTTCGCGGTGGCAGACGGTCGAGCTGGGTTACTCCCTTGCCTGCGGTTCTTTGGGTCCGGTCCTCCAGAGCGGTGCGTATAGTTGCAACGTTCCTAAAAGAGCAACACAGTCGTGCAGCACGTCCTTTTCAGGATGGCGCTCCGACTGTGCGTTTCTGGATGCGGGGGTTTCCTGTCTCCGGATGATGGACACGATCACTGCATTGCATGTTTGGGGGTCCAGCATGTTAATGCGGTGCTCGCGGGCGGTTCATGTCGTCATTGCGATGCCATGACCGTTGCACAGCTAAGATCGCGGCTAACTTTCGCAAGAGAGCGAGCCACCCCAGTTGCCTCCTGTTCTAAAAAAGCAGCGGGCGCTCGGGCAGATCTGAGGGTTTCAGCGGGAGCTAATCCGCCGCCCACGGGCTCGCGGACCTCTCGCTCCTCACGGCGCTCCATCCAAGCTTCGGGTGGTGAGAGTGATCCGTCTAACCAGATGGTAGCTCTCACACTCGCTGA